GCGTATACAAATAAGGGATGGATAAACTAACTGCACTTCTAAAGTTTATTTCAGTCTCAGAACTTCTAGGTTCATATAAAAAATAGTTTTTTGATTCCATACAAAAGGTAGTAGTCCTTCATAGCAGTCATATGAAGCGAACATGTACTTTTCGGATAGACCTACCTTCTCGTTCCTTTACGAATTGGCCCGCCAGATTATATATATTTTCCTCACAGTAGAATGGTATATATGTTAACTCGGATTTTGATAACTGTGCGAGCTTCGCCGAGCAAGTGGGTAATTTTGCCATCTCAACCTTGGCATTGTCATACATCTACTACTTGTTGGATGTGTTCTATGCAAGTCTGCCAGTGGGTCAATATAGAGTGCAATGTATATACATATATTTAGCATCTTTTTTATTTTTTTCGTAAAAGTCGATATGTTCAATTTGGAGGCTATGGTCGATACATTTTGTTAAAAAAAAATTCCAAATGGACAAGAAGCAACTATTTTGCATTCAGCAAGTTGTGCTAGCAACCAGAAATCAAACCGCAACCAGCTGGTTGCTGGGACAAGAATTTGCAATATATTTATGTAGCTGTAATAATAAGTGTAGCCTGTACTGTAGAGTGTAGAGTGTAGGCCTGTAGCCGGTAGCGGCGTAGTCTGTAGCCGGTAGCGGCGTAGCCTGTAGCCGGTAGCGGCGTAGCCTGTAGCCGGTAGCGGCGTAGCCTGTAGCCGGTAGCGGCGTAGCCTGTAGCCGGTAGCGGCGTAGCCTGTAGCGGCGTAGCCTGTAGCGGCGTAGCCTGTAGCGGTGTAAGCCGTAACCTGTGTGAGTGTAGGGCTACTCTCTCGAGGAGAGTAGGTCTGGCCCTGTACTACTGTAGGGCTGTAGGCTGTAGCGGTGTAGCAGCGTATATCATGATTCATGAACCAAAACAAAACTAAAAATTCACGAGCGAATCACAGCGCTAATTAGCATATTTTTATAATATGGCTTGCCCGGAGGGCGGAGAAGTGACGACTGATGAGATCGGCCTTATTTAAACGTTGCGGCTCCGAGGAGTCCGAGCCTCCGATGACCGAGAATATTCTAAAAATAATCATCGCCCTCTTGTTGTATTATTGAGGGCTATGGAGATGGATTTATACAACAAATCCGAATCTCGTAATTATTTATATTTTTAAAATACATAGTTTGTTACGCTCATGTATTCGATTTTACGACAATTTTTATTGTAAACATTCCTGTTTTTATTAGAGGACATACTCACGTCTCACATAGAGAATCAGAGATAATCAAATGCCACATTTTTATAACCCAGAGTTTTCTATTTCAATTTGTCTTTTTACTGTTCTTTAATATTTTTTTTTAAAAGAGAATACAATGACTTTTTGAAAATATATCTCGGCGATTTGAAAAGCCCACCATACTATGCGCCTAATAATACTATAGCCCCATATTTCAGAGCCTTCTAACATTGACATACATATTCATCAAAATTGAAAATCTGCGTGATAAAAATCCTTCAGTGGTTTCAGAGCAATTGAATAATTTAGTGTTTGGATTTTGCTCTGTAGCTTTATTTTACCATATATGGAAAACTGTTAAACCTCCCCGTTGGCCTATATCTCGGCGCCAACTGTGTCTGGGAGTAGCCCTTCAGCCTTTCAGGAGCAGGGATTTTGGAATTTCTGTATAGTGACTCTGAGAGACTGAGACTGCGACACGAGCAGTCGAGCACCTATGTTTGGTATTTCATAAGTATTTGGTCTACTTTTTATATATAAAAATAAATTCATCAAATATATTCTAAATATTAGCTACATATCTGTCAGATGAAAATCGAAATAGGTTAAATATACCAAAACTGTATCGACAATACATAGTCCTAATAACCTCATAACGTATTACGTTAATACGTTTTAATTCTACCCGTTAAGCGTTGAGCATTTAACGTATATTATCATAATTCAGTCCAGCAGTATATATGAGATGGGATCAAATTCCAGGTCAAGAATGTCGTCAAGTTTTGTCCTTAATCTTACTTATTTATTAATCTAGGTATATAGCGTTATGTGACTAAAATATAATCTAAATAAATGGTAGCAAGTGCACTATCTATAGGTCGCGCTGACCGAATTTTCTTAGGCCAATATAGCATATATATACGTTTTTACGATTTCAATTGACCCGTTAAACGTTATTCGTCGAGCGTATATACCAATATGGCGGAACGCTATGAGGGTTTGGACATAAATGCTTTTTTTTGGAAAATGAAAAACAATTACGTACAAATAAAGACATATATAGTAAAAATAAAAGAAATATATATTTTTTAAATACTTTAGCTATTGTCATTCTACTTATTTTTAGGGAGTTTATACATAGGACTCTGGGGCCCGGCCTGGGCGTATTCTACTTGTCTCTCTATAGTCTACAGTCTACACAACTAGAGAGAGAGAGTACGTATGACGGGCTTGGTATTTATATTTTCTTGGGAAAAATACATGTAAATAATTATCATGGCGTCTACAGTCCACAGTCCATTGAACCTATCACAGTCCTCGGAGGCATAGATTATTATGCACACTTCACACAGTTCGAAGGCAAACAGTCTGCCACACAGTCACACACCATGACACCACACACCTCCGCGACTTGCATATTTGGTTGCAATTATATATATATATATATATATATATATATGTAGGATGCACCAAGTAGTTGGAAGTCAAATTCGCAGTTGTTGATAAAAATACTAACAGAAAGGTGAGCAGTGTATATTTTATTTGCAACGAAATTTTCGTTTTATTACAATTGAATTACCTACATAATATGCTTACGGTTACTGTCAGTGGTGTAGCCTAAAAAAATGTAGGCATTGCTATACCTGCACTTATACAACTATACAACTATTTCGGAAGAACGATACATTATCCTGTGTTGCTCTATTTGGTATCATCAAAGTATGACTACGATAAGCTAAAACTAAGAACTGGTGGACACTTGAGCAGCTTTTCGTTTTGCGGCGAGTAACCCGGCTTCTTTCCCACTATCTACGTTGCACAGACTCGTCCAAGTCTATTTTCGCGTGTTTAATCTCAATTGGAAAGTGTT